GGCCTCCCAAAGTGCTGGGATTACAGGCTTGAGCCACCGCGCCCGGCCACAGGATTTTTTTAAACTTCACAGGAACCTAATCATTCTCATGGCATGGGGCCATATAGGTAACACATCCTTGCATGACAGACATCCTTAGAGTCACTACAAAAACCAGGGCAGGCCTGAGGGAAGGAAGTGGTTCCAGTAAGGTTTCCCTAAGATAAAACATATCTTGGGCCTTCCTTTTTCCTTTGGGCTGCAGGAGAAAGAATCCTACCAGAAATCTCCTCAGATTTTAGGCATAGCATAGTGGTTAACGGCAGTTCTATAGCTAAAGAATAGAGGTTCAAGTCCCAGCCCCACCTCTCACTAGCTGTGTCAGCATCCCCTCTGTAAAGTGGGAGTGACAGGACATAGCTCATCCTCTAACAGCAGCTGGCTCATGTTAAGTACACCTCAGAGTTAGCAATCACCTCCACTAGGACGGTTCTGCTCCTAGCCCCTCAGTGGCTGAGAACTGTAGGTGGGCACCTGTGCTATCCCAAAAACAATCTAGAGTGCCTCTCTGGCAGCACCCCCAGACTCATTCTGTTGCTCCCAGTCCTAGTAGTGGCTCCATGGATGTGGAAAGCCCAGCCCCAGTCCAGATGGCCCCAGACAACTCCAGCATCTTGGGACACATCCCAGACAAGCTGAAGGGCAACCACTGCTAATGGCAACATTCCTGCCAAGCCCCAGAACTGGATTTCAGAGACATTCAACAAAGTGAAGGAGCAACTCAAAATCATCTTCCCCTAACACCTGAAGGGCTCTCCCATGCTTCTCTGAGGCCCTGCAGGAACCAAATCCCATCCCTGTGCTGAGGACTCCCTCCATGATGGTCCAGATCTCTGCATACCAGCAAAAATCCCACAAAGAGGACAGCACCCTCTTTTTTGCTCAAACCTCCCATCTAAGCTTCACAAGACTTAAAAAAAAAAATTAACAGAAGCCAGTGTTGGCTGGGCTTTTGCTAATTACAAAAACCCACATGCAGGACCCTGTCTTCCTTTTCCTTAGCTCCCAGCCAGCACAGTTTATATAGAAATATAATCCTAGCACTTAAGGAGGCCGAGCAGAGAGGATTGCTTGAGCTCAAGAGTTCAAGACCAGCCTGAATAACCCAGGGAGACCTCATCTCCACAAAATAATTTAAATTAGCTGGACATGGTGGTTCATGCCTGTAGTCCAAGCCACTCGTGTGGCTGAGGTGGGAGAATTACTTGAGCCCAGCAGCTGGAGGTTGCAGTGAGCTGTGATCATGCTACTGCACTCCAGCTTGGGCCACAGAGCAAGACCTGTCTCAAAAAAAATAAAGCAGTGGGGTGGCGGAGGGAGAAAGATGAAAGTTTTGTACAAAGTCAAGTTCCCTTTCAGAAACAATTTGACTCTGCCAAACTCTAGAACGTTACTCTAAGAGAAGCGTTGAACCAACAGCAGCATTATCACCAGAAAGCCTGTCATAAATGCTTTCTTTGGGGGGAGGGCAGGGGGACAGTCTTGTTCTGTCACCCAGGCCTGCAGGCTGGAGTGCAGTGGTGGGAACACAGCTCATTGCAGCTTCAACCTCCCCGGCTGGGACCACAGGTACATGCCACACTTTTTTTTTT